AAAATAAAATATATGCAAAAATTTCCTATAAGAAATTTACGTTTTGCTACATTTAAATTTCTTGATTACCTTTGGAAATTTTCACGACCGCGATATAATTTAAATATACCGTACGAGAAACTTATAAGATCTAATGAAAGCTTAAATAAAGACACGAAATCATAAGATATCGCTTTACTCGAAAACAAAATCTATTAAATATATATATTTTTTAAGAATATTTTATTTATTTAATTTGAAAAATAAAAAATAATGTAATGTAAAAAATTTACAAACCTGAATAATTATATACGGAATATCTGCAATAATAAGGCTAACGAAGTCTGCCCAAAATAATAATGATATTGAGTCATTGGATAACTTTAAACTAAATTTAGATTTAGTTCCAAAAAATATTAGTTTTGATCCAAATATTAGATTTGATTCTAGTAGACTTAGAGCTTCGACATCAGCTCCTGCTAGTATAGTGAACAGTATTCGATGATTATTTGTCAAATCTAAAAGCGAATTTATTTCGAGAATAGGATCAGATGCAGGTTCTTGAGGATCAGAATTTTTTTCAAGATCTTTTTTTTTTCTAGGTGCAATTTCGTCGAGAACAAGTTTTAAGACAAATGCTAAATTTATAACATATGGAAATATTACAAAGAAAACACTTGAAAAAAAAATGTATATATATCGTAAATATTAATTTTTTTAAAAAAATCAAATTAGTTTGGAAATTAGTTACCTTGTAATAAATATGTTATCAACGGTACTTGCTTCTCCACTAGCAAAAATAATTCCTGTCACAAAGCTTGCAATAATCATTCCACCCTTATAAATTGCAAAATATTTTGGCTAAATCAAAAATTAAAAAAAAATATATATGTATATTATAATAATTTTTGATTTGTTTTAATAAAATATAGTAATGTTATACCTTAGTAGTATCGTTTTCCTTATTCTGCACATCTTCTGGAACATCTTGGCAACATGTCTAAATTAAAAAGTATATTTATGATATTTGAATTAATATTGAATAAATTAGAATATGTTGATGTTACCTACCTTCTTGCTACTTTGGTAACAATAAACGTTAATCGTGATCAAAATTATTATGCCTGCAAGTGGTTTTAGAAGTTCTTTTTTGTGACTTTCTAACCATCTGGCTATTTTACAAAATAAAATTATTAAAATAGAATGGTTTTTTTTTCTTAAATAATTTTAAAATGATCTTTTACGAGTGGCATAATATCCATAACCTGGATCTAAATATCTTGTAAATTCGCCAGATGCAATAACTGTGATGGGTTTATGCTCAATCAAAGCTTTTAAATCACTAACGATTGAATCGACTGATCTTCCTTGTCTAGTTTCAGCTTTATTAACATTGATGGACAAAATGATTTGTTCAGGAGATCCTTTAGGAAGTGAGGTGTCAATTATAAACCTTTTGTTGGTAGAGATTCGTTTCGAAATAACGGGAATCGCACTGGCCAACTCTTGGGTTAAATTCATTAAAAAAATTTCTCGTTCGTCATGATTAAGCTGTCTAAAATGATAAAATGAAGGGTCCCATCTGATGTCAATCGAACACCTCCAGTAATACTATCAAGGGACGTTTTAATTTTTTCAATTGCATTCGTTTTATCTGATAGTTGGTCTTCATCCGAACCTATTTAAATGTCATTAAATTTCTGATCGAGTTATCATGGTGGAGATCTGCAAAAAGCACTTACGTGTTGTAAAAAACCAAACTTTTTCATGTATGCCACGACTCTTTACAAAATCGTTATCAATCAAAACATAATATGTTTCACCTTGCATATTGAATGTACTATCAATTATTGTAACAGTAACGGTTGAGGTTTCTTCGACAACTTTTACATATTCATTTTTATCATTTTTGTTGTTTATAGAAGTGGTTTGGCGTAGACTACCATCGCTATGAAAAATTGAAATGTTGCCAGTTGATAAATCAACATGATCATAATAGTTGATTATGAGGACTTTCGTTTCTTTTGCGTTGATAACTTCACCTATTGCCGGAGATGTGGCATAGATGTGTAAATTATTATATCCTTGATCTAAAAAAAAAAAAAAAAATTGTAAAATTCAAAAATGTTTAAAAAGAAAAGAAAATAATGAATGAAGAATTGGATTTACCTTTCTCTCCTGCAACTTTATACAAATCGGTGGTGATTAAAGTCCAACTTTGTTGTATCTCCGGTTTAGGAAGTACAAGAGTATTGTTTGGTATCACCTTTAAAATTAGTTTCGGTAGGGTTTGTAAGGTTCCAATCAAAATAAGTATCATTATAATCTAAAACATAGCCATAGATATTAAGTTTATTACTGTCATTTGGGAATGCGTCTATCCCACTTAAGAAATACCCTCCTCCATATGGTAACGCCAAGATATTATATTGGAATTTTAAAAGTTTGAACATTGTATACAGTTCCTGATGAAAGGAAATCAACTTTAATATAATATTTATCAGTTAAGGTGGGTGTATCGAAATAACGTTTGACAGTCAATAAACAACTTTGTCCAACTCCTATGTAAGCGAAACCACAGTTAAGCGCAGTAAATTCTATTCCCGGATCTGTAGTTTGATAAAGAACAACTGGTTCTCGCTCCGTTACTTTTTCATAATCTCAGAAAACACCATATATTCCTCCCTGTGGATGAAGAGGGTCCGAGGCTGTTGTTAAATTCGTGAAGTTGGCATAAATTACCGCATATCCTCCGTCCATTGTTGCAACGGAGTCTACTATATGTTTGAATGATGAAATATTCATGAACTGTTCTTCTGTAAGGTTGTTAATTTCCCCACTTTCATCACTTTATAAAAAAATATTATATATTAATATATTTATATAAATTAAATCAATATATCAATATAAATAAGTTAAATTTAAATTACATTATTAATTGTTGCAACGTAAACCCGGTAGTATTTGTTTTAAGCGCAACACGAAGAAATCCTTTGTTGCGATTAACATTATTTATGATCAAACCCGAATTAGATACCCATATATTTTTAGGAGTGATATAAGAAGGTCCCAGCAACTTTTGACTAATACCCCAAAAACATTAAATTAATAACATATTCAATTATATTTTTTTTTAAAAGAAGTTTCTAACCTGTAGATCCTTCCATCCAAATCAATTACCATACCCCAATCTTCATAAACATTATTTATATCCACAGGTTCCGTATAAGTTACCAACAAGAAATTATTTTTTACAGTATAAAATGCGAGAGGGTTAAGAGTTCGATTGTCTATTATGTTCATCAGCATACAGAAATTCAAAGGATTTATAGTCATTTTATCCATTGAAATGTCAGTTGGTGTAATGTTTCCATCGGGATAAATTGTTCTAAATGATAAATATCTATCTAAACAAATCTCATCGTCTCCTGCAGGAGTTGAAGCATTTACGCGAATTATCTGAACAATTATCAAAATATTGTAAACTTTAAACGCGAGGTGACCTTGGATTTTCCGTTTGTTTTTCTTCAAATATAATAATAAAATGATTATCGAAAATATTGTTAAAAGGTGGTTATTTTCATTTTTGAGAAATTTATTTTTTGTTTTTTTGTTTTTTTTTTGATTTTTATTTTATTATAATATTCTTTTTTTTTTTTAAAAAAAAAAAACAGAAATTTATCAATATTTCGGGTAATACATAATCTTTAAATGCCACAAATCTGTAGAACTAAAAAATACTATTTTAAATTATGGTATTAAAATGTCATAATGAATGATAAAGACTAAAGGAATCTTGTCAAAGTTTGTTTGTGACTAGCGGGAAATCGAATAATAATAATATTTATTTTAATTATTGTCATGCAATAGCTTTGTTCTTTTTGTAAGGTACTGATAGTGATTGCGGTTATTAGGTGCATTGTCCCCCGTTCGTGTTCTATAATGTTTCGAATTTACTCTCAATCAAAAAAAAAGAGACACGTAAAAATAGGAGAGTACAATAACTTACAGTATTTCATAAATGAAAAACAAATGGGGAAAGATAAAAGTCTCAAAATAATGCATGCTCTCTAATATGAACAACAAAAACAAAGATTTAACGGCGATAATGCAGTTGATATCATTTTGTAAAGTCCTTATTTGGACTACCGGAAATAGATGCATTGCCTTCCGTTAATTTCTATTCTGATTTGAATTTATTCCAAAACATCAAAAAAAAAAAGTTAAGATTAGGAATTTGTACAATAACGTATTAAAATCGAAAGATTAAAAGCCTCATGCTAACAATGCAAGTTGAAAATATTTCAATCTTACATAATAATGATGCAACTTTGATTTTTCTGCAGGGGGATTGATTACGGAAACGGGTAATTAACTTCCATTCATTTCTATTCTGATTCTTGAATTTCGGAAGGGAGCGAAGTCGTGAACCCTCAACATTAGAAGCAGTATAGATTATTTTACCGAACTTATTCCCAAACGATTCAAAAAAAAAAAAAAATTTGAAACGTTAAGAACAGGAATTTACAACAACATGTATTTCATAAATTCAAAAAGATAAAAGCCTCAATAAAAACTATGCTCCCCATCATGTTCAATATTATTAAAAGTTTGGTAAAGATGAAAATATTTATTTTTAACTTAATAAATTAAATAATTTTTGTTAACAATGTTATTCAATGTAAAAACATTGACCTATATTGGCAATGCATATTTATTTTTATAGTACAACTTTTGTAAACAACAATAATAAAATTTGGATGAAATAAACCGCCCCTTTGTTGGTGCACCAACTTCTACAAAATTCGAACCTGTACCATCTAAATATGGAAAAGATTATCATTTTTGATTGTTGATGAATGAAATCCAAAATCGGAATGCTGATGTAACACAAAATTATATCTCCCTAAAAAAGCGTCAGATGTTAAACGTCTTTTTATTTATTATTTACTGTCATACAAATTAATTAATTAAATTTATTCCAAAAAGCTCACATTCTTTAAAAAGTTAAAGATGATCTAATGTCACAACATGAAAAATCAAGACGGAGTTTGTTAATTTATCGAAAAATTCCAAAGCATTTCGGTAAGAAGCTGATTGTGCATAAGTGCATAAATCCTTTCTCTGAGAATTATAAAAAGGCGAGTTCACCGCCCTTCTTCCTTTCCAAATCAAAATATTCTTGGTTTTAGTCTCATAAGAAAAATAAATTTTAAACATGACTAAAGTTACATCCTTGATTTTTTTGCTTCTTTTCTTTTAACACTCATATCTGCTTCCATTGCTTTGCCAACTGATGAATTGATTCATACACTTGATAAACGATCAAACAAATGTCCTTGCGTTTTTGCCGTCGCAGATTTTGATCTAAAGAATTCGAATGGTCCAGTTAAAGGTATCGTAACCTTTGCTCAGGATGAATCTGGTGCGACTACTATCACGGGAATCTTCAGTAAAGGTTTCGAAGATACAAATGCGACTTACGAATATCAAATCAAGGATGATTGCGGCAATGTCCTCCATGATCTTACCAAAGAATTGAATGTACAATTATCCGACGATTGCGGTACCGAATCTTTCAGACATAAGTTTGATAACATCAACCTTAACTGTGACAACAACGGTTTTCTGAACGTGCAGACACAAGGAAAAGTACCATTATCTAAACGTAATTGTAAACGTGATGCCGGCGGAAATGTAGTCGTTAGTAGAAATAATGAAGGATATAGCATCATAAATATAGTCATTTCAATTTTTATTTAATTCGATAATGTATTTCATAAGATAAATTTTGGTTTAAAATAGATGAACGTTTTATTAATTTGTAATTAATTTATTAAAATTATAAATAAATTAACTAATTTTTAAGCTCTCGTCGTAAAATACTCTTGATCAATTAATAAGAAATTTCTGTTTAATTTTATGTGCATATACAATATGATTACTACTATCGTAAAAAAATTAACAAACAAATCGCAGCACGAACGTAAGATACCGTTTGACCTTTTTATATAAAAAAAGCTAATTTTCTTGCGAAGAGGATCAATGAATATCACAGTTAACATAAGAAGTGAAAACAATTTTTTTGTTCATGTTTACATATTGAAAATCGAGTGTGTTACAAATTTATTTGACTAATAAATATATGACAAGCCGTTATCGAACTGCTTACAACAATTCGAAATACATCATTAATTTAAAAGAATCGATATTAACAAAATCCACTAAAAAAATAAATAAATAGTAAATAAGCAATAATTACTGTTATCAATTTTATAAAAATATAATAATGATAAATAAAAAAGACTTTAAAAATTAAAACTAAAAAACAAAGAATACTCAAATATGAAGACCTCTTACAGAAATATTCACTTCTTGATTTAATACTATACTCGTAAAAGTTACTTGTTAATTTTTATATTTATTGTTTAATGAATTATATAAAGAAGTATTTAAAAAAATTTATTTGACTGCAAAACCAAATTCTTGTCATAACCAATTTATTTTTGACGACCTTTTAATAGCATTGTCCCAATTCTTCAAATTTTCAGACACTTCTACCTATACTAGCATGTCAAAATCGATAAAAACATATTTTCAACTGTGATATCAGGAACAAAAAAAAAATATTTAATAACCTAATATCCAACTTTATGCAATCAAGTTATCCCAGTAAGCACACTCTGTGCCATTGCATCATACTTCATCTACTTTTCTCAATCGACAAAGTTTCCAACACAACCTTATAAGTTTTTCAATAGTTAATTTTGGATCTTCTTTTATTTGAATGAGACATGGATGTCATTTGCATAGTTGTATACGTCGATTAAAATCTATATGAACATCCAAGTTTCCGCCTCATGGACTGTAAAGCGAGACCTTTTTATCTACCGAGTCATCTAAAATTGTAATCATCGATTTTTCAGTTTTTAACCATTAGGAACGATCATTTCGGGAATATACTCTGTACAGATGATGGAAACACCACGAATTTGAGTTTGTCGATTCTTGATCCTGCTATATGTATATTTCCAAAACTCATAAGGGTCGAACTTATTGAATATTTCTTTTATGTTCTTCTGAAAATCCTAAACATCAGCCTTTTTTCGCTTTTAATTAAAAGTGTATTGTTCGTCCAACATAGATTACTATTTTAACCAGAATTTTATCAAAGGTGACCTTAACTGATTAAAAATTAACCGTTTCCAACCTCTAGTCGACAAATAGATAAGAATATTTTTGATAAGTTTCTTTTTCATTGGTTTCGATAAGCTCAACAAGTTGGGAAACTTCATCTCTTCGTAGAAAAAGAATACGGGAAATTGTCGATTCATTAACGCAATTATAAGAGTCATAAGATCATTTGAACAATTTCAAATTGTTAAATGAGAACATCACAGATCATGCAAGTCCTGCCAACTTGCATCTTATCGTAACTCCGTATAGGAAATTATTTTTTCTAATTCAAAAACTTAAATTTAATATTTTAAAAAAAAAATTAAGATGATATTTTTTAAAAAAAAGATACAAAACACACCATAAAGTTAGTGTCTCGGAAAGTATCGTAAATAATACTTCAGTATGCCACTTCCGACGCTCTCAAGAAGCGTCAGTTCTTCATCCATATCTATTTATATTATCTTATTAGGTCGTTTACTTCTTCTTCTTCCTTCTCAATTTATTCGTTACTTCTTCTTCTACTACTTGTTGCTCCATCTAGAATAAAAGATGAAAAGTAAAGTTAGAAAATGTATCATGTTAAAACGGCCTTATAAAACATGCAAAAATAAGAACACAATATCAATACAGCTGCAAAACGAATATATTTAGTATACAAACTATGATTTTCGATATTACAATCTTTTAAACAACTACGTTGTGGAAAAAGAATAACAAAAAAAACATTCTGAATATATATATATATATTTTTCAGGTGACTAATAGGATGATCGATTATATTCCTGATAGACTTAACAATAATTACCTATTTAAATTTTTTTTTGGTAGTCTATGACGAAAAGGAGTACAAAAAAAAAATTTTTTGAATCGAAATGGATAAGTAAAAAAATAATTAAGTATGTTGACGCGGTCTTTATCATTGAATTATCACGTGAATTATACAATATAAGAGATTCAAAAATAAATTAATTACAACTTCTAGACTAGATGTCAGCAGTCAATTTTTAACTTTTATTTTATTTATGGGTTTAATCGCTTAATTTGTTTATTTGAATTGATTACCAATCCTATTTTAAAATATAAATTTTGATAGCAAGGTAAATTAAGTCAATAACGAGAAATAAGAAAAAGAATTAAAGAAGTATTTATACAGTAGTTTCATAAAAGTAAAGACTTTCATCAGCCTTACAATTGAATTGTTATGTTAGACCATGCAATAAAGAATAGCTAGTGAAACTGATAATTATGAACGATTGCAACGTGATTATCTCGGTCATAATAATTAAATTCTCGCGTCACACCAACCATGTTTTTTACATGACCCTAGGATTTTTGTAATAATTAAATTAACAAAAATTTAATTTTGGATTCCCCCTTTTCTACTGACTGCCTCCCATATATCTAAACCGCCTTGCTACGATTTACATTATGAAGGTTGCGAAGCTTAGGTCATTAAGAAGTGAAAGCGAGCAGTTGTTCTTGACCAAGCAAAAAAGCTGTATTTTGATGACGAAGACATAAAGATAATTGAGAAAAAACAAAGTCACTGGTCAAGTCTTCATTACTTTGATAGAAGAAAAGTTTTTAGCCTTCCATATAGCCTTCTCAACGGACATGACACTTTTAATCAAGCACTTAATGGCGAATTGCAATATGAGTATACGGCCTCATTCTAATGTCCTAAAACTGTTTTTTTCTCGCTGTCTTAGTTTGACTTACATCTCATTTCTAGCATCGGCATCTCTCAATAAACTAGAAAGTCAGAAGAAAGTTTCTATGAGGCTTACAAACTACGAAGCTATTGAAAAGACTGTATTAATGATTTCCCATCCTTCTGAAGAAAACTTGCTGGCGCTTCCTTTACAAAACAGATTTACAAACTATCGAAACTACCGAAAAGACTGTACTAACAAACTTCCCAATTTCGACTCTCTCCTTTTACCTGACCTGAAACTATAGTTATTACCATTCCTTATACATCCCATCCCAAATCCCATGCTATATTAAAATCCCATATTCCATATCCCATATCCCATATTCCAAATCCCAATTCCCAATTCTAAATCTCAAATACCATTCGATTTATATATTATTTTTAAGTATATTTTGGTCAATATCCTACCTACTAATAAATTTTAGTTATTTAATCATCTGATCAAGATGAAGTTAGATAGCTAAATATTTTTAAATTCTGATTATTCAATGCAGAGATATTATTTGTTAAAGATTTCATCTAAGTTATGGGATTTGAAATGGGATGAGATTGGGACTTTATCCCATACCCATATAGTATGGGTAACAAGTCAAGTATACCTGAACTCTTCACAATATTATGGATATTATGGCAATAATTTACACTTGCTATTTATTACTACGATTGTTTTGATTATGATTTCTCTTACAATGGAATCGTCCCTACTGTGAATGGCCTAATCATCGTGAGTTCTCGAATCATCTACACGAGGTCTATAAAAGACCATGTACATTCCTCATTTAAGTTAGAGATCGGAGTTTTACGTACATTATTTGCGAAGGAACACTCAGTTCAATTACGTCTAACAGAAATGGAGAAACTATTAAAGATAATATCATTCTGTATTAAGTAATGAAATAAGCAGCCCGAGGATCGATTTTCTACACGAGTTGTGTACTTGTTGGCGATCTGTATGATTGTGCGGGACGTGTTCTTGTTTATGATCTAAAATCTCGTTGTAATTTAGTAAATTGAACCTAGGAATTGCTTGTCATGTTTTGCATAATAACCATTTTTTACATCTAACATTTCGACCCATCAGGTGCAACAGATTCCAAGAATTGTCAAGAAGATTTGTAGAAGTATACAATCAAAGAAAGAGATTGTAAAGAATAAGTTAGAAATTTTCCAGGTGGAAATTTTTAAATTTTCCTTTTTTTGTGTAACACACTAAACTTATCTTATGAATTTTCTAAGATAATGTAATTATCGGAGGATACCATCGGATCAATAATGATTATCATACAGCAAGCTCAAATCTCAATCTGTATTAACCTAAAAAATCGAGGAATAACCCATCAATTTACATATATATATAACATAAGACAGTACAGTTATTCCGATATTTTCCAATAAAAGAAAAAATAATTTTGTAGATACTTAGGGATTTTACTTGCTTCTTTCTTATAGTAAAACCAGTTTATCCAAATTCATTTTTATATTTAAAAAAATTATGTAATTAGTTTTAACATTTGCGTTTACTGAAAAATAAAGCTTTCATTTGCAAGTTAAATTGAGGAATAACGTCGATGCTATATCCAGAGCATAAACGCAGAAAAATATCTATCACATGATTCGTGAAGATATTTCACATTTCACATGTATCGATTAATAAAGACCGAAATTTCACAACGCTTCTCTCAATAACAGATTAATTACAAGATAAATAGAATACATGATAATTGAATACTCCTTGCGGATGTGTACGACTTTTATGAATGCAATATTATACTGGCTTCGAAGTTTGGATATTCCTCAGCGTAACCTATAAAAATGTCACGAAAGTTGCGGATAAATAAATAAAAATTTCTCTATACCGGTGTTAACATAAACCCTACATTACTTTTCTATTTATTTCTAAACAACCATATTAACAAAAAACGTTGAATACAAAAAACAATGTAAATTCTCATGTTTTTTTGCTATACATAGTTTGTTACAATAGTTTTTGGGAACTTTAAATTTAAGGATTACGGAACTTGGTATGGAAAATACAATAATCATATAATAATTTATTTGATGTTAAGTATGTAATGTTTTAAGTTAAAATTATCGTGTTCTATTAGTTCCAGGGCATTGTGTCCCATTTCTGTTTAGTTTAAAATTAAGTTTTGTTAGTATTTAGTTAGACTTTTGTAGATCGATGGACCAATTGTCTGCAGGCCAATTCGTCTCCTGGCCAATATACCATCCGGCCATTATGTTTCGAGGACAAAAAAGGCCTCCGAACGATTAGTTCTTGCTAGGTTTTAAGTATAAAAGAGGGATTTCGCTTGAGTAGAACACATCAAGTGTTCCATATATTCCCTAGATAAAAACGATAGACAACGTTAGCATATATCCCCTTTCCTTTTATTTGTAATGATAACGAAAGTATATTAATAAATTACGTATCTGATCGTATAGAGTGCCGAAGATTGAGGCAATACCTTATTTACGTAGATTTATGTTAGATTCATTTGTTATTAATAAAGACATTTAATTCATTTTTATAAATAAACCTTCTGCTTACCTTTTCTATTTTTTATAACCAATAAACGTTTCGAACTGCGTGCAACAATAGATTTCTTTTTATTGTACAAATGCAATATTAATATGCAGATACTGAGCGAAATACCTGCAGATATTAAATCAATAATTTAATCATGAAATGCAGTCAGTAATAAACAGATTCTGAATGTAAAAATATATCAGGACGAACAGATGAGATGTTTATTAAAGGAGAAATCATTCATTCAACGTGTTCTGTTGCCGACTAAGCATACATTCACTTTTTTTATTTTGATCGTATCTAAAATGCTATTTCATAACAGTATTTGCACTAACAAGAATTATTATTGAAAATAAAATATGTTTTGTCAAAATTTAATGGTATATTTAGATAATTACATTCATATATTGCATAATTTCTCTTTACAATTCGAATGATCTTAAAATTATTTAAATCGTTTACATCACTTATTAAGATCAAAGTATTTCCAAACAACAGTATTATAACCATTCATTCTAACACCACCCTCTTTAGTTTAAATTATACAAAATGCACCCATAACACTTACTACGCAAAAGATTTTATCATAGCTATCTCTACTTCCTCGAAAAAGTTAAATTTACTAGCCTTTGGAATTCTTATCAAGAACAGACGCATGTTTCGGGTTAATAATCAATGAATCTACAATAATTTCTCCATGATTCATAACGTAATTCTAATAGCAAACTACCCAAATGTTTATAAGGTTTATTGTTTACAATCTTCAAGTACACCTCCTAAGTTAAGTGGCAAAATATTTTCATATAGAATTATGAAAAAAATGAATGAGTATAATAAATATACTTTTTAAAGCCTTAAAATCCTTTTTATTCTAACACTTTAATTTCGTTATCGATTGGGAAATACCCATTTAATAAGATAATATCATAATTCAATTTCATTATTTTGTCTTCAACTTTAACTAATTCAAGTTATCTAATGTTGAAAATCTTGAATTAAAAAATGGTTTCTGGATCATCATATATAGTTTCTAAACAATAATTTTGGAATTGTTTACAGCTTTATAGTTGAAATTCTGTGTGAAGGACTTAATTTTCGCAACAATTTAGTTTGATTTTTAATCAAATATTCCTGTACAGAAGTAACCAATTAAATCATAATTCATCGGATGCTAAAATAAGATCAAGGATATCAGGGACTTCTTTTTATTAAATACTGTTTACCATATCTAGAAAAAGAAATGATTATTTAAAAATTTGAAAATATAAAAAATATGTTGGCAAGAAAATAAACTTTTTTAAGTTCTTATGTGCTTTTGTATAAGAAAAAAAAATTAGGAACTATTATTACCTAATAATCATAACAAAAATTATTGGAGAAATATTATCGTTATATTAATAAATTATCTTTCTTTGTAATCAAATTTTGTGAGAACTCTTTTAAAATAATGTAATCGAGTAAATTTGTACCTTTCAAACGTAAATAAGAATGACATCATAATCTTCTGCATCAAGGAATGGAGATAAATTCTGTTTTAAAGAGTTCCATGTAAAGATCTAGAAGATCAGAATATTGAAGATTTTACGAAATAAACGAATACATGCAAATTTGTGTTTTTTGACATCATAAACAGAATTATTTGATCGTAAGATTCAAGTATCGATGCTAACTGCAGGATCAACCGCAGTACTTTACATTAACAACGTAATATACAAAAATAATTTGAAAAATTGTATAACTTTATGTAACCATATTTTAAAAGAACAATTGGGTTACAAAAAATAATAGTTGTATGTATGCTATCCATCTAACAGTATATAAATAAAATTGTTAAAATATTAAAAATATAAAGTATTTTTTATACAAAAGCATGACTTTATTTAATAATTAATTTATTTTTTTTTTCCAAAAAAACAATGGATTTTTTGTATGATTTTATACGATTTTTTTTACCGTTGAAATATAAATTATCCGTTTTAGGTTTGAAGACAATTATTATAAGTTTTCGGTTGAGAATTTCGTGATGTTCTTGTATTAAGTAACAAATTCCTAAATCGGACAAAACAAATACCTAATTAAGCGAGAAAAGTAAATAAAATCTCGAGATGAAATACTTCTGGGTCTTTTCTATCTTAACTTTAAACCTTATGCCCACCAGGATTTCAAACAAATGCATGCACAAGATGGATTACATTGTAATTAAGAGACATTGTCTGATCAAGTTAATTGGCACTCCTTTAGTTGATCTTGTTCAGTCTAGCCGATAACTAAAAGAAAATAACGTTTTTTAATTCAGTCTGTCGAATTAAAAATACAATAACTCTATAAAAAAAATTGATAATCTTAAATCATGGAAATTTTCATTTCATTTATACGGATTTCGTGAAAGGCTCATTTTCACGGAATTTTTACAGAAGCGACGGAGAAATAATGGAAATATTCAGGCAAAAATTTTTTATAAGGCACTAACGCCACGGCAAAGGTAATAGCAAATGAATAGCAAAACATCTTTTATTGAACTCTTGGTTTTATATCAAAACCCAATCTCAAGGAAAAGTACATGATATTTAAATAAAATAAACATCTAATATTTTATAAAGTGATAAATATGTCCTATATAATATATACATGATAAAAATAAAAAGATAAATGAAATAACTTCGTGATAAGTCACATGGTCGCCGCAGAAGGGGATCCTTCTTATAATTTTTTTTGCAAACTGTCGGGCCTTGGGATACAACTCTTATGAGTGCAACTGCATCCTTGCCTCCTTGTGAATTAAAGATTTTTCTTGTTATGGATTGTAGCTCGACATCGGTGAATTTTAAAAAATATTTAATTTTTAGGTTGTTCATTATGATCATTCTGTAAACAATTAATTATGGAGGTGAAAGTAGAGATTTTGTTGAATAATTTTCTTGATGTTAATAAGCAAATCATCGGTCATTTAAATAGCTTTTTTTATCTATCGACTGAAATTTTTTCCTCAGAACAAAACTTTTTTGTATGAATAAACGCCAAACCCAACGTAGTTAATCTACAAGTTATTTAACCAGTTAAACACGATAACATCTAAATTCAGCTGATTGAAAATAAATCTGGAAAATCTTATCGTTATTATTCGTTTTGTTGATATTGTTCTAAAATTGGCTATTCTATTGTAACCATTGTAAAAAAATTTTTTATGACATCATATTATCTGGGAGGCTTTATTAATATATTTTCTAACTAGGTTTGTATCCATTGAAATCTGTTCCATTAATACAAAAATAGAATTATTTAAACGCATACAGGCGGTCACTTTGCAGAAATGTCATATGCCAAACATATTATATTGTCTTCGCAGAACTGATAAAGATTGGCGTTTTTCTATCTCGTAAAGATTGACAATTTTTGGCATTTTGGCTACTTTTTTATCATTGAACTTGTACGACCTTCGACAATTTTTAATGGCATTATACTACATACGACAAAAATTTTCCCTTCAAAAAACAAAACTAGTTCGTTACACAAACCTGAGTAATCATGTACTATTCATTAGTAATAATATAATATCAGAAATAAGATTGTAATGTAATAAACGTCGTAGAAAATTACCTGTTTGTATTAAATATAAACCTTCTGAAAAAAAATTCGAAGATGTATTGTGTTATATAGGAAATGTCTTGAATGTCTTGAATGGAAAATATTATCAGCTTTGTCAAAAGTATTTAAATTGCCATGGAGAAAGTGTCATTTCTGACAGATCTGTTGGAATTGACATTTCGAACCTTTATGATAGTTCGAATTCCTCGTACTGCCATTTTTGACATCAGGGATCAATTAAATTAAATTGTAAATCCGTCATTCAAGCGTAAGCATATTGATATTTTTAAGGGATTCCGTAACCATGGGGTATAAAAATGCTTCGATTTTGCCTCGATTTTCAGTAGGATTAGATTAGAATTGTTATCTTCTCTTAAAGACTTATTACAGAGCGCCGGCAGAGCAATAATATTCTTTGTATTCTATAAATTTAATTTCTATTATTATACATTTCGTCCCTATCGCAATTAACGTTTTCGAACACATAAAATATCCTGTACTGATCACAAAGAATTCTCTAGGCATCATATTATTTACGATATATATGGGAATCATTTCCATTTTTCGTTGAAAATATTATATCAATATATATCAATGGAGTAAATATAATATAATATGAACTAACGTATAACTTCAATTGTAACGTTTCATAGTATCTACATAGACCATACATGACACTTCGTCAGTTTTAATAATGCTATGGGTTACCGGTTAAAGATTTTCTTTAACCGGATAAAATAGTTAATCTTTACTCGGGCCGAAATTTTAATTTTCGGCCAGAATTAAGATGTTTGTGATTACAAATATTTCGCTAGCTCCGCCCAAATTTATAGTTCCGGCCTAAGTTATATTTAACCGGTTAATTAAACGGTTAAAGAATATTTAGAATTAAAGACCTTCTTTGATTTAATTCTTATAAGTATTCCGTGTCAAATGATTGCAAATAAATAATTTTCCGGCTGTGGAAAATGATATAACTAATCGCTAAGGTTTTGTTAATCACGCAGGAAGATCGAAATCAACTGTGGAGCTATAACATCTTAACTGCAAGATATATTATATAATACATAAGCATAGCTAATCCGTCCGTTTTAAAAAAAAAAATTTATAAGGATATAAAAGCATTTCGTTTGTTTGCCATTTTTGAATTTGTAGTTGTAATACCATATCTACATTTGCTTCTAAATTAATTTTATTCAGAATATTATGAAATGTATAGAATCGATCGTTACGACATTATATAAAATTGGACCACCGATTACAAAAAAAAAAAAATTTTTTATAATAAAAATTCTTATGCAGTTAATCGCTACGATCGTCGCAAAACATGAAAGTCTAATAATTTGCCAAGCATCAAACTATCAGCGGGTGGATCAATCACTACATACTAGAAGATCTTATTTGCGAAACATTGAAATAAAAAAATAGTTCGGGAATAAAGCCCGGATATATGATATTTCTATGCTACTTTACATTTCTTTGCTGATATATACAGTATATACATGTTTATTTCCTATTTTTGAAATTGAATCCGTTGTCTTTCTTTTTTTCTGTCTTACCCATACTTTTTTTTTAATCGGACGATAATCTTCAACAGCCGCAGTATTCGAAAAAAGTTTTACCGCCATGAGGCTGTAAAATAAAAAAAGATTACCTTTTAAAAATATTACAACCAATAAAATTTATCTTACCAAGTGTCCGCATTTTCCTCCGAACCTTCTTTCAAAGCAGACATATGATTGGTTGCTATTTATGGTTCTTTTTGGGGTTGAACTATGTAGCACTTTTCAAGTTTTCGCGTCGTATATTAATTTTTTTTCTCTAATGTATTAATTTCTTGTACATGATTAAATTATAAATGAAGTTCGTTATGTTAATTTACGGAAACTACAAAAAAAATTTTTTTTGATCATATACCCTTTCTACTGCAAGGTGCCCACATAATAAAGAATATAATTTTACTTGTTTCTGATAAGCGATACTATCGTAATTTTAATTTTTGTAATTAATAAAAAAAAAGAAATAAATGTTACACAATATGATTATGTAAAAATTTGTGTTAAAAATTATAATGTGGAGGGAAAAGACGATGATATGTCGATTCAAACGGGTTGAAATATAACTGCGCGTGATACTATAAATTTGTTTTGATTTATTTTATGTATTTCTTTTATAAATAATTTTAATAAAGTTATTGGCAGTGCCACATCGTTAAAAAAAAAGAGAGAGAGAGATTTTAATGCATTTATTATACAACTCAAAATTTAGTCTAGATATATTGTTATATTGTTATTATTTATAATTTATTAAAACAAGGAAAACAAGGAAAGAAGAAAAATGATGATAAAGGATTAAGAGAGAGAATTTTTACATGAAATTCATATAAAATACAATTAATCCCATTAAAATTCCAGAGTAATTACCAAAATCATTTATAATTCGATGTCCATTTGATTTAATTGTTGATTTAGCGCTTGATGTGCCACATTTTGCGTCATATTCATCTATAGCTTTGGTAGAGTTAGCTAAGGCCTTTTGTAAATTGGGAGTAATAGGGTGTTTATCTCGAAATTCTTTTAAGTTATCGCGAGCTTGTCGGTAACAATCATCGCATACAATTTCACTAAAAGGATTCGGTTGGTTTTGTGTTTGTGTTTTATTTGCTGTTTCCAAAAATTTGGTGTAACAATATTCTAAATATTTTAAGAAAAGAGTACGGCAATTTATAAAATAAATATCGTAAAAAATAAACATAAAAATATTAAAACTTAATAATAATAACTTACCATTCCCAATTTTACCACAGTAAAAAGATCTCACAGGTATAGCAGTATAGAATACAATCAAAGTCGTAAAAGCTTTTGTTCCAATTATATCAGTTGTCCCGGTGGTGAAGTAATTATTTAATTCTGCATCACAATTTTTGTCGACTTCAGTATAAGCACTTACAACGTGATCTTCGCTACAAGCACCATTTGCGGTATCAGCACAAGTTTTGTCTAAAGCATTATTTACGTTTACCGGATCAAGTAAAGTATCTGGCGTGGAAGCAGCATTTCCTTCAGATAAATAATATTGAAAAAGTGGAATGATTAAGCATTTGTCGGATGGTGGCTGTTTATTTGTGATGGAATAAATATCAATGAATGGGTATTTATGAAGTGTTTGTTGACATGGTGTACATGTAGTTCCTTGTAGATTAAATTCCTGTTCGCAGGTAAAACTTTCCTGAGCATAGGCGAGAAGTAATGTGTTAAATAACGCGAAAGGAAGAATGAAATATTTCATCATTTTAATTTTTGTAAGTCTCAAACTAAAAAAAGTAGAAGCCATTTATATTTATTTTCATAATAGCATACAACCAAATTACTTCGTCAGTGTATAACAAAAATAAATGTGCATCTTCATACAAAGAAAAAATTCACATTGAATACCATTAAATTTAATTACAATATCGTTAATTTGAATGAACTTTTTTGTGATCAAAACATTTGTACTTATTAGGAAATCTTTTATATCGTGATCCAAGATAATCTGACCATATGAATAAATATAATAATTCCTTTAATTCCCTTTTAACACATTTTATTTTCATTTCTCTCTTGTGGTACGACTTTATATAATACAACAACCAGAATTTTACGCCATCTCGGAGGGCTTTGTCCTTTTAAAAAAAAAGTTCATATCTGTTGTTAAATATGCATGTTTATATTATCGTTATGTACTGAACAATCATATGATGATCGACAAGATAGAAAGGTTCAGAAATTTTTAGATTCTGTACTCCGTTTAGTTACTGGAATAAGAAACATGAATAACGAAACTGTTTTTGGATTTGCACCTTTACAGAAATTCATTTACCCTATAAGTGAATTCATTGTAGTAATGAATTCGAATGTTGCGTTAAAAATTTTTTTAAAACCCTGTCATAAAGAATATACTTCCTTTAATACCTAATTACCAACATTCATTGGTCTAAGTAAATCAAACTATATATGGTATCATATGAGTGATCGGCTATTAAAATCACCTTACGGAACATATTAAAATCATATGATCCATATAATCGATTTTTTTTTAACTATTCATTCGTCGAAATTACGTCTGATTTGACGCAATCTTTGCTCCAACTTGTGGTGGCCGAATATCTTGCAATGGAATATTATTTTGCTCTCTTCTTAGAGCCCGTATTGTTTTAAGACCCTATATTAAACTCTCTTTTTCAATCTTATTGAAGCTAATCGAAGTTTTGATTATTTTAATTGATAGTGACATACTTGCATGAGTTTTTATGCCTATTGTTGAAAAGTCCCTCAACCTATCAAACTTGCAAAATTCCTCAATTACTCAATAATATTTTTGTAAACTGAAAGTATTACTGATTCTAAAATTAATAAATCTTAATTATCAAACTGTGGGTTTTTATTTCAATCTCTTTTTAAAATTTTATATTGAAAACTATTGACGTGCTGTGTTTTCACTCAATCGGCAAAGCGTAAGGGACAAATGAAGCCATGAATCCTACCACTTTTCAAAATGTCCATGAGCTTTATTAATTCCATTTTTCAATCCATTAAATCATTTTTTTGACTGATAATGTTTCAATAGCTTCTAATAATTCTAATAATTCATTTGCAAAAAATATTTCTACATTACTTTTAAGATTATTAAGAAAATCATTCCATTTATAAACTTTATCTGACATTTTGTAAGCTTTCTTTCAAAAATTATTTATTAAATTGTGTATTATGCATAGATTAGGATTATGACCTAATATAAATTGTACCAAAGGTTCATAAAAATGGTTTGAAAATTTATTAAGCATTTTATTAAGCATTGAATTAGAAAATTATAATTCAAAAGGATGACTATAAATAATAAACCAATGAACAAATGAAATGTGAGCTTCACGATAATCTAAATGTTTGTCTGTTTAACCCCAATGCGAACAGATTATAATGGAATCCAATTAATATATTATACAAAACTTTAACTATTGATGCATTAGATAAAGAAGTTTGTCATTATTACTGAAATTATAGACAACATGCAAATTTCATGCCAAATAAAAAGATTATATAGAAGTAATTTTTGAGAAAAACCAGAAAAATTTGAAAGTTTGCCAAAAGCTTCCTATTCAAAATAATTGATTACAATTTGCATAACATGAAGTCTACAATCCATTCGAAAAATTTAATTAATTTAATCAATTTTTTATATTGTATGATTTGGGATTGAGGAAGCACGCTAAATACTTTCAATTTTTGATCACAAAATTCAAATAAATATTCTATTAAGAAAAAATATTTGTAAAATTCTCTTTTATTTTCTTTAATCTTATTGATGATTGATAATAAAGTTAGAATGTTATGCAAAAAGAGTAATCTATTTAAGATGAATGAATCAAAAACAAAACAATTGACTTAGATCCTCTTAGTGAACGAGAAAAGAATTGTATTTTTATTTAATAAATTGTTTTGCTTTTAGAATATATTCAAATTGGAAACCGACTAAAATATTGTATACCCATTTCTTTTAATCCAAATCTTGATTAAATTTCAATCACAGTGAAATGCTTTCTCTCCACAAAATTCTATTTTTAATTACTAAAATTATTCTTGCCATTTCACTTGCTTTGTTGTATATTTATTTTGCCTCATTGCATATGAAAGATGATAATCGGTCTCAAGGATTTCTAGTCTTTTCGGTCTTTCATTTTAAAAGACCGACTTAAATAACCGCAGTTCTCTTTAGTCTTCTGTTTATGTGATTAAAATCAAAAGACCGGCAGTCTTTTTTTAAAACTGCGGTCTTCAAAAAGACTAATCAACATTAGCTTAATAAATTAAGGTTACTAGTATCGACTAGGGATGCTAATGGTTAAAGTTATGACCGGTTATGACCGGTCATAACCATGACCGATATCAGTCGGTCAAAGGCTTTTGACTGACCGGTTGACCGACCGATTTTGACCGATTCTGACCGACCGGTTGACCGACCGATTTTGACTTACTAATTCTAAATGATCTTTGACTTCGATCATCTTATCTCTATGGTGATTATTTTTAAAATTAGAAATGATCAACGATATATTAAATATACATTTTAAAGAAAATTTTGACCAGCATGTAAAATAAATTGATGTATCTTGATAATAAAT